ATGTAATGAATGAATGTATGTATGTATGTATGTATGTATGTATGTATGTATGCAAGGTATGTACGTATGTATGTATTTGTGTAATGTATGTATGTATGTATGTAATGTATGTATGTGTGTACGTATGTATGTAATGTATGTATGTGTGTATGTGTGTATGTATGTAATGTATGTATGTATGTATGTATGTATGTATGTATGTATGTATGTACTGTATGAATGTATGTATGCGTGTATGTATGTAATGTAATGTAATGTAATGTAATGTAATGTTTGTATGCATGTACGTATGTATGTTATAGTATGTAAGTATGTATGGCTGTATGTAAATGTATGTATGTTTAATGTATGTTTATGCATGTAATGTTTGTTGATATGTGTGTATGTACTGTATGAATGAATGATATTATTTATTTATGTAATGTAAATGTATTAGCGATCTGTATGTATGTATGTAATTAATGTAAATGTAATGTTACAGTATTATGTATGTATGTATGTATGTATGTATGTAATGTATTAATATTTAATGTAATTTAGGTATGTAATGTCTGTATTTAATGTATGTAATGTAGTCATTATGGTAACTGTAATGTAAAGAATGTTCATAGTAAGGTTATGTATGTAATGTATGTATGTATGTATGTATGTATGTATGTATGTATGTATGTATGTATGTATGTATGTAATGTATGTAATGTATGTATGTATTTATGTATGTAATGTATGTATGTATGTATGTATGTATGTATGTATGTATGTATGTATGTATGTATGTATGTATGTATGTATGTATGTATGTATGTATGTATGTATGTATGTATGTATGTATTAATGTAATGTAATGTATGTATGTATGTATGTATGTATGTATGTATGTATGTATGTATGTATGTATGTATGTATGTATGTATGTATGTATGTATGTATGTATGTATGTATGTATGTATGTATTGTAATGTATGTAATGTATGTAATGTATGTATGTATGTATGTATGTATGTATGTATGTATGTATGTATGTATGTATGTAATGTATGTATGTATGTATGTATGTATGTATGTATGTATGTATGTATGTATGTATATATGTATGTATGTAATGTATGTATGTATGTATGTATGTATGTATGTATGTATGTATGTATGTATGTATGTATGTAATGTAATGTAATGTAATGTATGTATGTAATGTAATGTAATGTAATATGTATGTATGTTATGTATGTAATGTATGTATGTATGTATGTATGTATGTATGTATGTATGTATGTATGTATGTATGTATGTATGTATGTAATGTATGTAATGTATGTATGTATGTATGTGTGTGTGTATGTATGTATGTATGTATGTATGTATGTATGTATGTATGTATGTATGTATGTATGTATGTATGTATGTATGTCATGTATGTATGTATGTATGTATGTATGTAATGTATGTATGTATGTATGTATGTATGTATGTATGTATGTATGTATGTATGTATGTATGTATGTATGTATGTATGTATGTATGTATGTATATAATGAATGTATGTAATGAATGTATGTAATGAATGAATGTATGTATGTATGTATGTATGTATGTATGCAAGGTATGTATGTATGTATGTATGTAATGAATGTATGTAATGAATGAATGTATGTATGTATGTATGTATGTATTAGGGTCTGTGTTTTTTTACCGTGTCAGTTCTTTAGTCTTCGTGGGAGGTGGGGCTTGGGCGAGCCATACCCCCAAATCATACCCCGAACCATACCCCCGAGCCATATTTCGAGTCATACCCTTAAAAAACACAGTGAACTTGCAAGAGCTGTGGCATTTGCATGTGATCCATGGATAGCTGGAAGCTATAGGGGGTTTAACTTCAAGTGAAGAAGGGGGTCTTGTCAAGAAACAGTGTTAGAGAGCTTGACATGTGGACCGATGCCAGGGGGTAGGGACTCCGAGGTAATACCTGGTTCACTTGTGGTTCCTGGATCTATTCTTGAGTCTGCGATGCTTGCATGGTTGGGCTCTGATGTCATGGGGCCAAGTACAGTTGACATGTCCACTCACACACTCACTGGTTACTCGTGGGGGGGCCATTTTGGCTCAAGTGGTGTTCCTTGACACTCGGTTACCCACCTCGGTCTCGGCTTGCTATTTTCTATGGAAAGTGCCAATGGATGGAGTTATAGAGCAATCCTGCGGATGTCCTGGTACTAGAGTTGTCTGTAGCATCCGTGGTGCTGTGTGGCGGGGGGGTGCAGCTTGACGTAAGACTCTGGGACTTGCAGGGCGCTGTGGCGGGGGGTGCCGCTGCTGAGCTTGAAACTTGGAGCTTGTCTGTCCTGGGCCACTGTCGCCGTGAAGCAGTCTTTGTGCTCCTGGGGTACTCTTGGTGTCCCCCGATTCATACCCCAGATTCATACCCCCGATTCATACCCGATTCATACCCCGATTCATACCCTTCTGCTGCCATTTGCAGCCAAGAGCCTCTTGTGCTCTGGGCAGCGCTAGCGAAGCTTTGCCGCCCAAATCCTCAGAAGACACAACACTCAAAGAGAAGCACTGCAAGAACCAGCTCGCGGCTCTTTTCGCAGAAGTTCGCCAGAAGGTGGGATCGGAAGGCTTACTGCGATGCATCAAGCGCGACACGGTACACCGCCTGTGAGAGGCCCACTGGCCTCTGCGCGGCTGCCGTTTGAGGATGTCACGCTGTCTTGCCCTTTCGCTGCTGCGTGACTGGTGCGCGTGGCGGGCCTGACTGGGGGCGCTTCCCCTTAAGCAACGCTTGTTTGGGTCTGTGAGCATGCAGGTCGCTTGAACCCCAAGTGGAGGTGGCAATGACGTGGCTCTGCGCCTTCCACCCAGCGCAGCAGCCCGCTCACGCAGAGTGGCAGCTGTCTAGTTCAGGCCACTCACAAGCGCCTAAGGCTGGCTTGTAGCAACTAAGCGGTCCAATTCTCACGGCTATCCAGTTGCCAGCGCACGGGAGCTTTGCAGTGTCCCAAGCCACAAAGCAAGAGTTCAGAGGCGCGCGAGCCATACCCCGAATCATACGCCTAGGCCATACCCCGAAGCATACCTGCGATTCATACCCCCGGCACGGCCACGTCCAAAAACACATACCCGTATGTATGTATGTATGTATGTATGTATGTATGTATGTATGTATGTATGTATGTAATGTAATGTATGTATGTATGTATGTATGTATGTATGTATGTATGTATGTATGTATGTAATGAATGTATGTAATGAATGTATGTAATGAATGAATGTATGTATGTATGTATGTATGTATGTATGTATGTATGCAAGGTATGTACGTATGTATGTATTTGTGTAATGTATGTATGTATGTATGTAATGTATGTATGTGTGTACGTATGTATGTAATGTATGTATGTGTGTATGTGTGTATGTATGTAATGTATGTATGTATGTATGTATGTATGTATGTATGTATGTATGTACTGTATGAATGTATGTATGCGTGTATGTATGTAATGTAATGTAATGTAATGTAATGTAATGTTTGTATGCATGTACGTATGTATGTTTGCAATGCAATACAATGCAATGCAACGCAATGCAATGTATGTATGTATGTATGTATGTGTTTGCGCAACTTTCAAGTCATCGATTGATGAACTGAGTAGTTGGTTTAAATTCCGTAATTGCATGCATACACACGCACACACACGCATACACACACATACACACATACGCACATACATACATTCCTACCTACCTACCTACATACGTACATGCATACACACATACACACTCATACACACATACATACATGTATAGATAGATAGATAGCTAGCTAGATAGATAGATACATACACACCCACACACCCACACATACATACATACATGCATGCATACATACATTACATACATACATACATACGTACGTACGTACGTACATACATACACAGATTCATACACTCATACATAAGTACGTACATGCGTACATGCGTACGCACACACACATACCCACACACCCACACACATACACGCACATACAAACACACACACACCCACACAACGGGCGCAGGGTTGGAGAAGGAGGTGGGAACACCAGCCATCCAACCATGTAGCAAAGAACTGCCGTAACTCAATGACATTCTCTACCGCGACAACACACACACACTCAAAGACACAACGACTTGGTGCCTTGGACAGCCCAAGAGCACGGAAGCATTGGCAATTTCTTCAGGTGCTGAGTGCGCCCGTGCGTGCGTCGGACCTTTCTGCGGCGCCGGTTGCAGCGGGACATCAGGCAGCGGATGGGCGGGTCGCTTCCTGAGAGCAACATGGGCCAAGATGAGCGCGGGCTGGCAATTCGAACTGGGGGGAGGGGGGAAGCCTGCCTCAAGTTGGGTCCTCTGGATTCGAAATGGGGCGGTAATACGGGGTCAATGAGCCCTCCTCACCGGGAACAAATAACCCTGGCTGCGTTGCAAAGGTGGCATGGGTAAAGGTATAGCCCCTCCAGTAGCTCCGAACTTGTTTCTCAAACCTGTAACCATGGTCAAGCCAATCTGCGAAGGATGTGCGTGTGCAGGAGACAAATCCTATTGCGCCGCTGGCTGCGAGGGCCGCCGCTGTGGGGCAGGATGCAAAGGACACCCTGGCAGAGGTTGATGTTGAAGCAGGCAATGGGTTCAATGCATTTGGGTCCAAAGAGAAACCCGCGCCCTTTCGTTATGTAGGGCCCCCGCTTAAAGTTTCTATACTTTCTTTGCAGGCCTAGAGCATCCTAAATCGATGCTGAGGAAAAACGATATCCGTAGAAGCCATGCAGACAGGGTCCAAGTTGCTTTCGCAAACCAAGATTGCAGAGTCAGAAAGTTGCAAGGCCCAACGGATACAGTAGCCAACTTTGTTGCCAACATGCCGAATCCAGCTATGCCGAATCCAGCCAGTTGCGCTGGAGCTTTGTGGACTGAGTTTGTATACTACGCTACTTCTGCACTTGTACTGAAAAGTTGTGACTTTCGAGCTAGCGCCGCAAACCAACGCAAAGGACAAACATGATGCACACCTGTACAAAGGTATAAGGTTGCAAGGGTTGTCCATGGTCCTTTTCCGCCCATTTGGTTTGACATACGTGTTTGGTTGATTGCGACACGGCTGAACGACACTCGGCAACTAACGAACCCAAAAAAAGGAGGACCAAGCGAGGATCAGGAGACCCAGCTTGTATTAGTGTTAACGCAGCTGGCCAGAACCTTCGTTCCCTTGCTGCTTCGACTTGGACTCGGGAGCTTGTGATGGTGAAACCCATTGAATTGCATCACCTTGGAGCGTTTGGTTTTGCTTCGCTTCGTGCACTCTGTTTTGTAGAATTCCCTCTACTGTTTGTAGTGGCTCGGCTGTAGTGGCATGTCTTGCTTTTTGTTTTGCACCTCGCGGCCACTGTCGGTAGCGACCGCAATGCTGACGAAGCAAACAGTGAAAAAACCCAAAACCCCAGTGGCGTCACATCCCAAGTGGCCCAGAAAAACAAAAGGGCCAACCAACACAAAACAAACAGGGGGGCAAACCACAGAAAAGGCCTTGAATTCGTCGCGCAATACCTTTTTTGAGACGACCAGGATCATCCCTCAATCATGTGATGCGACAACTAGTTTGATATTGAACATGTTCAACCAGGAATGTAAGAATCGCACCGGAACAGGTTGAAAACAACATGTGTAGAGGTTGAACAGGCAAATTTTGCAACGCCTGGTGTATGTATGCTGCTGATAGGTTAGGGTAGGAGTGGCATGCTCGCAGCGCCAAAGAGTGCGGGGTTGTGTGCCAACAAGTGGCCTCCGCGAAGAGAGGGAAACTTAAAAGGGATGATGTGCTGACAGACACATATTTTTGTACTACATGTATATACTGATATATATATATATATATACATATGGTCCCCAGGACCCTATGTTGACCCTTTTCCAGGAGGTAGACAAAGGCAGATGTAGTGCTCAAAACCACTGTATTTTGCATTTGTTGGTTATGAAGAGGCACAGGATCATTCGGGGTACTATATATGCATGTATGCATGTATGCATGTATGCATGTATGCATGTATGCATGTATGCATGCATGTATGTATGTATGTATGTATGTATGTATGTAATGTAATTATGTTTGTCTGTTTGTCTGTCTGTCTGTCTGTCTGTCTGTCTGTCTGTCTGTCTGTCCCTCTGTCTGTCTGTCTGTCTGTCTGGCTGTCTGTCTGTCTGGCTGTCTGTCTGTCTGTCTGTCTGTCTGTATGTATTCACGTATGTATGTATGTATGTATGTATGTATGTATGTATGTATGTATGTATGTATATATATATATACACACATATGTACGTATATTCACACACCGTCCCCCCCTCTTGCACTACCTGTCCACATTTGCTCATCTACTACCTCCACCTTTTGAGATAGAATGAATTTTCTGTTCCCGTGCAAATAGAACTTGAAGTACAACCGGTGTAGCTAGAATTTGAACCTCTCTACTCTTGAAATGTCCTTTTGGAACACCGTCTAACAAGTTTAATGTCGGACCTGTCTTATGCTACACAAGGGCCAGAATGTAAATAACACAAATCGTATTTCGACAGGATTTGCTTATTTAAGCTGTAGTGAACACAAACACATTTTGAAACCTACATCCTAAGTAAATTATATTCACAATTCCAATTCCAGTTGAAGTAAACTCCTATTTGGAAAGCGTATCATATTGGGACAGTTCGGAGGACTCCGGGTCCAAATTATGAGGCTTTGGGGACCCACAATTAGAAATTTTGAGAAATTAAATCTCGAGATTCTAGATTTGCCATCCCCAAGAGGCAGTAACCTATGAATGCCTTCCACACTTTACGAGGATTACCCTGCTCTCCCCCTCGCAGGAGCTTACTGCGTTTCTTTGGCTGCAATTGTGCACAAGCAGCGTGCGGCAGGGCATTGAGCGCCACCAAGGAAGGTGCAGGAAGCCAATTGGGAGACTTCTGCCTCTTTCAGGGTCTGTTCAAAGGCGAACAAGTCCCCCTGTGGCTTCCCAATTGGTGTTATGGATTAGCTAGGCTTTTCTGGAATTACTTTCTGAATGCTGCCTGGTTATAGTTAATTAGCGAGCAACGCAACTTGAATGCCCAGCCGCACTGGCCGACACAGAAAGCAAATGATTGCGCCTACCATTTGCGCCCATGAAGCCCACAGCTCCTTTCCTGAAGGCCGCCCAGAGCAACCCTCGTGGTCTCACGGGTCAGCAGAGGTTGGCTTTGAGAGCAATCAGCATTTGACGCAAACTGGTGTCCCGTCCCTTTCTTTTTCTGACGAGGCGGTCATGTTTCCTCCTCATTGCGTTGACACGATGACCTTTTCATGCTTGCTGTTTTGGTAAAATGTGGTCTGAATGACTATCAAAGCCTCCAACCTCGACTCCCCCAACAGCAACTCAAGACCCCCCCCCCCCACCCAGCAGGCACAGAGCAGAGGTCCACTGCCCCAACCGCTTTTGCCCGCTTCACCCAGGCGGCGGGCTGCAAGGGCATCGGCTGCGCCATCGGCTGCGAAGGTGCGGTTTTTGACATCTCCCACGGGTTCCTATAGATAGTAGTGCCTCTTGTCTTTGTCGTGTTCGGGCAGGGGGTTAGAGTTTAAATGCATATCAACGTATCACCTTTCGGTTGAAGTTTGAGCTACAGCCAAGTTTCTCTTGAAGGTGATGCACACTTGCACGCCTGCACGTGCGGACACACAGACACACACACACACACTCACAGACACACACACACACACAAGCACAAACTCACATTCTCACAAACTCACAAACACACAAACACACAAACACACAAACACACCGCACACACACACACACGCACACAGACTCGCACACACACACACAAAACACAACAACACAGACACATAAACACACACAACTCACAACAACAACAACAACAACAACAACAACAACAACAACAACAACAACAACAACAACAACAACAACAACAACAACAACAACAACAACAACAACAACAACAACAACAACAACAACAACAACAACAACAACAACAACAACAACACAACAAACAACAAACAACAAACAACAAACAACAAACAATAAACAACAAACAACAAACAACAAACAACAAACAACAAACAACAAACAACAAACAACAAACAACAAACAACAAACAACAAACAACAAACAACAAACAACAAACAACAAACAACAAACAACAAACAACAAACAACAAACAACAAGCACCAAGCAACAAGCAGCAAGCAACAAACAACAAACAACAAACAACAAACAACAAACAACAAGCCACAAGCCACAAACGACAAACGACAAACGACAAACGACAAACGACAAAGAACAAAGAACAAAGAACAAACAAACAACAAACAACAAACAACAAACAACAAACAAACAACAAACAACAAACAACAAACAACCAACAAACAACAAACAACAAACAACAAACAACAAACAACAAGCAACAAGCAACAAACAACAAAAAAAAAAAAAAAACAAACAACAAACAACAAACAACAAACAACAAACAGCAAACAACAAACAACAACAAACAACAACAAGCAACAACAAACAACAAACAACCACAAACAACAACAAACAAACAACAAACATACAACAAACAATCAACAAACAACAGCAAACAACAAACAACAAACAACAACAAACAACAACAAACAACAACAAACAACAACAAACAACAACAAACAGCAACAAACAACAACAAACAACAACAAACAACAATAACAAACAACAAACAACAACAACCAACAACAAACAACAACAAACAACAACAAACAAACAACAAACAAACAACAAACAAACAACAAACAACAACAAACAACAACAAACAACAACAAACAACAACAAACAACAACAAACAACCACAAACAACCACAAACAACCAACAACCAACAACCAACAACCAACAACCAACAACCAACAACCAGCAAGCAGCAAGCAGCAAGCAACAGCAACAGCAACAGCAACCACAACCACAAACAAAACCACAACCACAACAACAACACCTGCAGCAGCAGCAGCAGCAGCAGCAGCAGCAGCAGCAGCAGCAGCAGCAGCAGCAGCAGGAACAATAACAACAACCACAACCTCAACAACAACAACAACAACAACAACAACAACAACAACAACAACAACAACAACAACAACAACAACGACAACGACAACGACCACGACCACGACCACGACCACGACCACAACAACAACCACAACAACCACAACAACCACAACAACCACAACAACCACAACAACCACAACCACATTCACATCAACAACAACAACAGCAACAACAACGACGACGACAACGACGGGAACGAGCACGACAACCACGACAACAACAACAACAACAACAGCAGCAACAACAACACCAACAACAACAACAACGACGACGACGACGACAACAACACCAGCACCAACACCAACACCAACACCAAGAGCAACACCAACAGCAACAGCAGCAACAGCAACAGTAACAGCAACAGCAAGAGCAACAGCCACACCGACACCTACACCTACACCAACACCAACAACCAACAACCAACAACCAACAACCAACAACCAACCACAACCACAACGACCACAAC